TCACTAGACACTAGTTTCCATTTTCAACAATTTTTTATAAATGGAACACAGTATGCATTAATTTTGTATGTCTTTTAATCAGCGTGTTTGTTTTTGAGACTCATCCATTTGTATCATGGATCAGAAGTCGGTTTGTTTTTAGTGCCGAGCAGCATTCCACTGCAGGGAGGTGCTGCGTGCTGACATCTGGGTTGTGTGCCGTTCGGGGCAGTTACACATAAACCTGCTGCAAACATTTGTGTGTTAAATCTTCAACTGTCTTTACCTTCACTAGTCTTCCCCAAGGAATTAAGGCTCTCATTGCTGCTTTTTATCAGCATCCTGTGGATCAGTGAGGTGGTCAGGCTCTCTGTGGGTTAGTCAGGGTATCCAGAGCCTTGCCTGAGGGTCTTGTGAAAATGCACATCCTGACCCAGCAGGTCTGGGTGGGGCCCGGAGTTCTACATTTTAAACCGGCTTCCGGGGGATGCTAGTGCTGCTGGACCACAGTTGCACTTGGAAGAGCAAGGCTGTAGAGCCTGAGAGTTGATGCGAGCAAGGCAGTAGTAGTGTGGTTTCTTCCTACAGGTGAAAGTAAACTACTCTAGTGTTACATTTTTTATCAGAAATGGAAATAACGTCATTTGCCCGGTCAGGCAGCATTTGAAGTGCCAAGAGCTTCGTTATGTGTGAAGCAGCAGTCGATAGTGGAGGTCGTGACTCAGGTACGGTTGTTACAATGTCCCAGACCAGCCTGCTGCGTGGGAGCGTGGGGACTTGCCTCGCCGGCATCCCCTCTTCGCGGTTCCGCAGGGAGGCGTTACTTGATTTGGAGTTTTGGTGCGAAGGGGAGGCTCTGGTGTTGGCTCTTCCTGCTTTAATGACCCGCACAGTCACGGACCAGAGATGGTCTGGGTTGGGGGTTTCCGGGGAAACTCGAGTCGGAACTCTAGTGTAGTCAGCTGACCAGTACCTTGCCTCTGGTTCCTAGGGTCCCCAGCTGGACCCAGTGAGCTGTGGTGTTGCTCCAGGTTTCCAAGAATTAGCAGAGCACAGAGCCATCGAGCTCGTCGGCATTTCCCTTTCCTCAGACGCACGGTCGCAGGTCCTCAGGGAGGGATGTCCTCCTCAGGGGCCCTGGGTCTGGGCTGTGAGGGCTGGTGATCAGCAGTAATGGGGACAGTGGAGACCCTGGGGCCACACCACCTGAGTTCGAATTGTGCCTGTACCAGGCAAGGAACAGCAGCTCCTCTGCCCGGTGTCCCTGTCTAGAAAGTGGAAGTGGC